CGGGACCTATTGATATTATATAGTTGTCTACCGTACTCACTTTTCGTCGTCTCTTACCCCTCTTGTCTTTTTAAGTCCGTGAGTTTCTGTTTCAATTTTGACAGTCCTGTCTTCAGCGTATGTTTGTTCCGTAAGGGTACTTAATCTCACAGCTCTTCCACGGTTCTTAAGACGTATCCATGAACTTCCATTTGTAGATCCAAGAATGTCCCAAAAGGTAAGGTGCTTTCTCCGGCAGTTGTTTAATCTGTAATTTATGGGGAGTCTCTCTGTTCAGCCAAGAAGCAAAGAAGGTAGGGAGAGTCTAATGGCGGCAGGGCAAAGGAAATCTCATGCCTGTCCTTGCCTACCTATACAAATTATAATGTAATCCAGATCTCTAATAGGTATGCACTTATACAAATACAAACTTACAAACCTAACCAAACTAATGGCTCTCTATACTTTAATGAGTCAATTAAGTATTGAGTTATATCTATACTTTAGGACAGATAACCTTAAAAAATTATACTTCTAAATCCATGGCAATGTCAAAGCTTAGGTCTAAGTAACTTATATACAGTATATTTGAATAAAAGACACTTGGTATCAAGATGTGTACCTTCTAAGTATGGTGAGCCTCCTTAAACATCCAGAGCCATCTTCCTTCACCCGAACCGTCCAAATCTCCCCTCATCTTATGGATTCCCGCCGCAAACACACATGCTGTCTGACATTGTTGGCGTGTGACGTGTGTGCTGTGGCGGGCCATAGGTCTGCACATGCACCCTATATCAGCGCATCCGAAAATGGGAGTTGCCCCCCCAGGTTATCCGATCAGTGGGCGGCGCCAAAGACCTAACCGCGCCGTCCCATCTCACGCTCAAAGGGACAGGTGCCTCCCTCTGCCAGCATGAAGGAACAGCGAAATGCCCAGGGATAGGGCATTTAGGTGCAGACTGTCCGCAAGAGATGTATTGAGGGGGCTGGCCCGATATACCAATCCTGGGTGAGAGAGATGACATCCCCGACATGTGAATTATATCCACCACCAACATAACTATGGCCAATGTAAATACATCAGAGATTAAACACACATATTTCAATCTTGCAGTATCAACAACATCATAGTTGCAGCCTAAATTAGAATCAGATATGGCACCCAACCTGGAAACAACACAATACACCACCGATAGTAATGAGTATGCACGACCCTGCACATGCTGCAAGGTGTACAGCCATATATGATTCTAGGCGGAGAACCATGCACATGCACAGGTGCTCATGCCGGAATATGGCTATGCAGGCTGGCATGATCTTCATGACAGTTTGGCTGTCTGTTCAGCTGTCTTCACTGAGGAAAACCCCTGGGTCAAACAGCAAAATCCAGTTCTTCTTGCAGGGATTCCTTAAAAGAGAACCTAGGGGTTAAGTGGTTTTCCCCATAGTTCTCTTTAGGGTCACGGGAGGACATATACTAGTGTCCTCCCGTTACCCTAAGCTCAGTATATCGCGGCCTATTGCTCGCGCTATACTGAGAGTGCCGGGACAACATTACTGTCGAGATCCACCCAGCTGCGTGAGTGACAGCTGGCTCTGTCTATCTAAAGGCAGAGCCAGGGAATCCCTGCGGTGAGTGGTGACTGACAGTCACTGCAGGGAGACGATCGGGAAGTGAGTGGATCGGTGCTCACTTCCCAATCGATAGAGCCGACCTGTGACAGCTTCTTTGTCACAGGTCGGCTTTAACTATGAAGATGAGTGAAATCACTCACCTCATAGATCTCCTTTAAATCCACAAGTTCCAGCAGTTGGTCTTTTGTGTTAGTAAGATTTGGCATGCTCTTTCACTGGCCTCTTCTTGCATTCTAATATGTAACTTTTAAAGGGCTCAATCCACCTGTGCACAGTCTGCAGGGTTGGAGCTTGGTTATTAAGGTCAACGTTCATATGCCAGAAACAAGCGGTTGCCTTTAGTACATGTACATGGTGAACAAGTGTTTCCGTTTCTTAAAAAAAATGTTGAGATTAAAAACACAGATTAGATTATTGCCACATTAAAGTAAGTAAGCAAATTAAACTTAGAACAGAATTCATTGAAAAATGGATCAAAACTCACATATGTACTCAAAACCTGGAGCCAAAATAAAGGATTTAAGCAATAACTTTAGAAACATTAATAACTTTCATATATTTATCTTCGTGTCCTCTGCATCCCCATGATGTAGCATTGAAAAGCATATTTTGATGTGGTTGGAACTTTGGTGCAAGGTTACTCCCAGATTGGAGCCTTAGGCCTGTGCCCCTGGAGACTGCAATGTCTGGGTTAGCTTGCAAACCACAATAAATGGTCTATTGACAAAAGTGTGAAGAGTATGGAGAAGGCAGGAGAAGGGAACAATCTAGGACAACATAGCTGAACTGGAAAGTGAGCCGAATTGGAGAATTTTTCTAACTCAGCTAAAGCTGGCCATACACCTATATATTATCTGCAGATTTTCTATAGTCAGCTGGAAAAAGTGCAACAGATTCCTCCATCTATGCTAAACTGTGCGGATGGAGGAATCTCCCACTGGGCCAAGCTTCAGTATCTTGCTAGTCGGCCTCGCTGGCTGTCAAAATACCTAAACTATCTGATTGGATGCAGGCATTGTTCAGGTATTTTGAGAGCCAGCGAGGCCAACTGCTGATAGTGCAAGGTCAGCTGACCTTGGTCCTAGGAGCCAAGGTTCTTATACTATGGACTGTAAACACACAAATCTGCAGCAGCAGAGCCAACTTACTGGAGGTAAAACATGGAACTGCTTTTTGTACTGGGGACTGCACTTTATTTATAAACATATGTGGATGACTTTTATAACAATACTGTATATTTATATTCCAAAAGGTTTTTAAAGTGAAACAATAAAAGTTATATTTGAATAAGATCTAAGTGCAATATTTACAGTGTTTCCCCTGAAAATAAGACCTACCCCGAAAATAACACCTACTACTATTTTTGGGAATTGTTAAAAGATAAGACCTACCCCGAAAATAAGACCTAGTTGTGACCACTCCCAGGGCCGGTGGTGTCATAAGGGGGAACTTGAAGAGCCGCGGGAGAGAATCGGCGGTGCCAACGAAGCCATCGCTAGAGGAAGCGAGGAGACAGCGGAGGGAGCAGAGCCGCATAAGCCGATGCTTCCTCTATAGCGCCGGCTCCTGTCACAGGCGCAGTGATACCAAATGCACTCCGCCTGTGAGGAATCGATAGTTAAAGTGTGCTTCGCTCATTCTGGCCAGCGATTGGCTACCAAATTGCTCTTGGAAAGGTACGACACCCCTGATCACCATATTTTTGTACATGAATACATGTAGACTGTTGTAAATGAATAAGTGTAGATTGTTGTACATTACAAAAAAAAGTAAGACCTACCCCGAAAATGAGACCTAGTGTTTTTTTTTTGAGCCCCCAAAAATATAAGACAGTGTCTTATTTTCGGGGGAAACACGGTATATATGTTCATCGTGGATTCCAGCCGTGCGCATCTCTGAATCTTACCTTACCTTCTGATGTGTGCGACATTTCTTTTGTAATATTTAGTTATATATTGGGAAGGAATTCACATGAATGAAAACATACCAGCAGAATGATTTATAAATCATCTCAATTATTTCCCTGCCTCAATCCACCAGAGAAACACTCGAGGGACTTTCAGACTGATTAAAACTATATATCTGCAAACTATATAGTGATCTACTTTTACAAAAATAGGTCAAATAATACCAAAAGAGAACAGAAACATTACAAAAGAAAAGTTCTAACACACTGTGTGTGTGATTATATATGTATATACGGTGTGTGTACATACATTATTTTATTTTATTGTTACTGATTTAGTTTTTACTTTTAGGTTATTTTGGTATCGAGTACGAGTACCGATATTTTTTTTTTTTTTCTCGATTACCGGAAGTCCCATTCAGGAAGCCAGGTGGCGTGTAATGACTCGCCACCAGGCTTCCTGATTAACATAGGGGCGGGTGGAGCTCCCGATCCAGGCCCGCCCCAGTAAATAGGCCTGGCAGAGCCGACACAGAGTCGCGGCCAAGCCAAGCTGACCCTGATCGCGGCCGGGTTGAGCTGACCTGGATCGCAGTTGGGCCGCGCTGACCAAGATCGTGGTCGGGCCGAGCTTACCATGCAGCCTTCTATTCCAGCATATGAGGGAGCATGGAACCGGCTTTCTGGCCAATCAGGAAGCCGGGGGGTGGGTAATGACTCACCACCTGGCTTCCTGATTGGCTAGCTTCTCGACCAAAGTAGAATTGAAGCCACAACTTTTTTTTAGTTTAAAAAGAGAGGAGAGGGATTAAAACCCCTGTCAGGTTTTTATTGCTATATGTGTCCCCCTAGAGAGATCCCCCCTCTTTATTTGTCCTGGTTACCATTTTTACTCAACGTGAAAGACAATACAACATTTTGAGTTGTCATCAAAACAGGAATACCTGGGAAATCTTCCAATGTGACCACCAGTAAGTTCCTTCACTTTGGAGGGATTTCATTTTACTTCCTGTTGTAGCTATGGGACAAGAAGTGAAGGGAAATGTCCCCAATAGGACACAGATAGCAAAAAAAACACTGACAATGGTTGTAACCCTCCCTTATTCTATTCAGAATAATTTGGCTTTAGTTTCACTTTAATCAACAAAGCAGATACTGCCATAGAACAAACAGGAAGAATTATTTCTTCCCGCCAGCATCACTTAAACCCAGCAGGCTATCTGTGATGCCTAAAAACCACTCGTGCGGGACCAAAACACAGCTGACTTGTAAAAACAACACGGGCGGGTGCTGAACACCTGCTCAGCGTGTATCCACAGGAAGAAGGCGGGCCAGTGACGTACCCCCTACCACGTTCTCGACAGCCAATACGTCACGTGGGCGGAGCCACACGAGTTCTCTGTTTTCATTGTCCCTTTCCGTGCAGCCTCAGACCGTCTCTCTCTATGACGTAAAGAGCAGCGTGTACTTTCCTTGGGAATATACCCGGGCGGACTGTACCATTCACTGAGAACAACACAGAGAGCCGGCGAAGGTAAAACGCAATGCCTGTCATGTATTTCCCTACAGCAACATTTACTATATTAACTTTCTGTTACATTATTCTGAGGATCACAAGACGGGAGGAGCATTGCCTTACTCCTTCCCCCCTTTTCTTGTTTAATGGTTCAGTCTCACACTGTTACAGTGTTGCATGATTTAGTTACTGACTCGGAAAGTACCACAGCTGCGAGGAATTGTAAGTAACAAGTTTGTATCCTGCTTTGTGCGGCACCCGTTCTAGGGCTCCACCACTTCTATGTCTGTGCAAGTTCGCTGGCAGCGTGTTTTGTGTTACTTTTGTTGTAGTTAGTTATATGAAAATGCTCCCCCCAGGCTGTGGGTTGTTGGTATGATCCAGCAGAGTGGGTGATGCTATAGGGGATGTCCATGCTGGTGTAGTAAGGAGGAGAGACGAGGGGGGGGATCAGACATCATCCTTATCCTCTAGGACAGAGGTGAGTCCATTCTCTGCTCATGTGTGTACATTGTGTACTGTAATGTGTATAGTCTGAGATCATAGCAGATGGATACAATGTGTGTGATATCCCCGATGAAGAGGAAGCACAGTGTGTACTATGAGATCACTGACAGTAATAAGAGAGCTATACCATGACGTCACAAAACCACTTAAAGTGCTTGTCTTCTGTCTTTACTGCCCATGATAATAAGTAGGGATGAGCGGAGGGAGTTCGCCAATCGTTCTGGCCGGTGGTGAAATTCCAACGAAGTGAAAACTTGATCATGGAGCTGCTAAAGCGAAAAGTTAATTTAAAAATAAATTTTTCTATATTTAGTGTTTTTTTGTTTTGGGGTTTAGTTGTTTTTTTTCATGTCTATTAATGTTTCCACATGAGATTCCTAATTGTAATCATAATTCCTAATTGGATTCCTTTAGGAAAGTGTGTGAATCCTGTCTAGAGAGACCTCTTATGTTTCCTTTGTAGGTGTGTTTTATTGTTGTTCTTTTTTGTGTGTGTATTTGATTGCAGTCTGGCACTAGAGCTGATTCAGGACAGTTCAAAGGAGCTTCTGTATCCCATAGGAGCTTTTTGAAGCCCAGTTGTTACTGTGCAAGTTGTGCGCTCTCCCCACACATTGACTCCAATTCATTTTGCTGAAATTCAAATTTTTAGTACATGTAACCCTCATCTCAGCTCATCCCTTATGATACGGCGCAGTGTGTACTGACGTGTCCAACAACTACGATTACTAGTAATTACACTTTTTTTTGGCTTGCGGTGTGACTTGCGGTGTGACTTGATGGTGTGTAGATCTCAGAGGTGTACATTGGAAGTGATCATAACTAATAAAGGATCTCCAAACACTGCAGAACTGTGATGGGATTGTACTGTAACTGCCCCAACTTTCTATTGTGTTTGTGAGACTGATATGACATAATGTAGATCATTTATGTAAAGTTCTTTCTCTTCTAAGATTCTTTATATCACTCAGAGTACAAAGAGGATTGCCTGTATTGTGTGTCTGCACTTGTGCTTTCCTTTGTTTATGGCCGTTCACTGTGTGTGCTGCCGGAGTTGTTGTGATGCTAATAAAGTGAGTGCTGACACCATGGGGGGGGGGGGGGAGAGATCACACTTTGCTTCACAAGTCCATTCACACCATATGTGTCCGGCAGCATTTTCCATCAAAAACATAAGGCGATTACCTTCTGTCCTATTGCTTCAGTTCACACTAACATGCTGAAAAAGTAAGAGCAGCCCGTTCTGATGCTGCACTACAAGAAATCGCAACACAGTGCCTGCGCATTAAGTTCAATTAGTGTCAAATTGGTTCAAGTGATGCTAAACTCAGCAGTGAAATCTTAAAAATACATAAAATAACCTTAACTATGAACAAAAACGTTACTTATTTGTGTATCACTCGGCTGTAGATCCTCAAATCATCTCTGAATTGGTGCTGACACTATCCTTCCTTCTGGAGGGGGGCTACTTTTGTTCCCCATGGTCCCTGTGTGTGTGTGTGTGTGTGTACTCTTTACCTTGATTCATTTTGCGGAGACATCCGCTGCCATTTTAGCACCCACCCAAATGTTTTGGTTTCTTTCACCAGTCAGGAGTGTGGTGGGCTTCTACAGGTGAAACTCGAATAATTAGAATATCGTGCAAAAGTAATTGCAGTAAGTGCTGCAAAAGGGGCCCAAACCAAGTACTGAGTACATATGCATGCTTGTACTTTTCAGAGGTCCGATATTGTTCTATGTACAATCCTTGTTTTATTGATTGCATGTAATAATCTACTTTTTTGAGGTTGTGGATTTGGGGTTCTTGGGGTTTTCATGAGCTGTAAGCCATAATCATCACAATTATGACAAATCACGGCTTGAATTATCTTGCTTTGCATGTAATGAGTCTATCTCATATATTAGTTTCACCTTTTTAAGTTGCATTAGTGAAATAAATGAACTTTGCACGATATTCTAATCGAGTTTCACCTGTATGTGTTTTGTGTTGTAAAGTAGTCACCGCTCCAAGCTCGCTCCTGTGACGGACTACAATCTCAATACAAATTAGTATACTAAACCTCCGACCTATCTAAGCGCTCCTTTAGTGTCACCTACAAATCTAACTCCTCCTCTCCTTTTCCTTTTTCTGTAGGGTTCCCCCAAGGCTCAGTCCTTGGACCCCTTCTATTTTCTATCTACACCACCTCCCTTGGTCAGTTAATAACCTCACATGGCTTCCAATACCATCTCTATGCCAATGACACTCAAATATATCTTTCCACTCCACAAATCACCCCCTCAGTGTCCTCTCGTGTCACTAATCTACTAACTGACATATCAGTCTGGATGTAACAACACTTCTTAAAACTCAACCTTTCAAAAACTGAGCTCATGATATTTCCTCCTGCCTGTGCTCCTTCCCCCAACTTTTCCCTTGACATTGATAACACAACTATCCATCCCTCCCCTCATGCCAAGTTACTAGTTGTCATCCTTGACTCGGACCTCACCTTTCTTCCCCACATCCAATCACTATCCAAATCCTGCCGCCTTCACCTTCGTAACATCTGCAAAATACGCTCCTTCCTCACCAATGAAACCGCAAACTGCTCATCCACTCTCTTGTTATCTCTCGTCTTGACTATTGCAACTCCCTCCTCATTGCCCTACCTCTACACAGGCTATCCCCCTCCTTCAATCTATCATGAATGAGACCCTGCACTGGCTTCCACTCACCCAAAGGATAAAATTCAAAATATTAAAAACCACTTATGAAGCCATCCACAACTCAGCCCCCGGCTATATCTCAAACCTTGTCTCAACCGTCCCCTCCACTCTTCCAAAGACCTCCTGCTTTCCAGCTCCCTCGTCAACTCCTCCCATGCTCACCTCCAGGACTTCTCTACTCTAGAGTCTCTCCTATCATCTGGAACTCTTTACCCCCACCTATATAAGGTCCTTATATTGTAAAGTGCTGTGCAAACTGATTCTATATAAATCCTGTATAATAATATTTGTTTACACAAATCGGCTTTTAAACATGCATTTTCATGCACTGAAATCTGGGCTCCCCATGTGGCTTTGAGGGGCCCTGGAGACCATTTCCAGTATGTGCACCCAGTTCCTAGCCATATACATAGCCAGCCTGCCCAGGACTACATGCCCCATAATGCCTTGCTCTGCTTCTATTCCTGTGAGCCCAGGCTGCAATGTGGTATGTCATCACCCCTTCCTGGGCTTACCTTACTTCTGCACTACACAGATCTCGCACAGCATTACATGAGTGCCTTTCAGTGCAGCAGAACGGAGCGCCCACCACCAAAACGTATGTATGGAAGACCAAATAGGTGCAGAGGGGGTTCATGGAGGGGCCGGAGGCAGAGAATCTGTAGTTGCTGCTACAGACTGCAATGTTCTTGGCAGCGGCAGGCTTGCACTATACATTAGAAACAACCTGATCATATGTGTTCATACTTGCAGACACAATGTTCCCTTGGGTATCGGTAACTTTCTGAAACCTTAATGAATCTCTGACCTCAAAGAGCCGAGCAGGAAGTGGTCTGCCACCTTTGTATTAAACTTCATGACTAGTCGTAGCGTGAATTTATGACTGTGTTTCAAAAGCTAATTGCAATCTCCTTTAAAGAAGAAAAACTTTTCTTAAAGCGTTATTAAAGGAGAACTATGACATGAGTGATTTCCACTCACGTCATAGTTCTAAGCCGACCTGTGACAATGAGACTGTCACAGGTCGGCTCAGTAGATCGGGAGGTGAGGGAAAACATACCGGGTTCCCTCACCTCTCGATCCTGTCACGGCTCTCTGCCGTGACAGGGGGAGGGGCTGGATTCCCCTCTCCCCGCTCCGATCTGCCAGCGCTGACTGGCGGAACGGACGGGGGAGGGGCCGGGTAAGGGGAAAAACACTGACCCCATAGTTCTCCTTTTAAACCCTCGCGTGTTTTTGCATATATCTATGGCTAGCAAGGAGTAGATATATGCAAAAACATTAAACCTGTTTCAAAAGGTGTTTTTTTTTTTTTTTTAAACTTGTGTCTTCTCTGCGCGCTCCCGTCCGAACATGTGAGGAGTCTCGGGCGGCCGCAAAGGATGATGGGGCGGGTGCATGCACAGTTCAGATGTTCGGCCGGGAGACGAGGAGAGACACAAGGTAAGTCTATGGAGCAGCGTGCACCCTCACAGACAACGTGGGACATGGGAGAAGAGGAGGACAGAGGAGTCAGGAGGGACAGCTGAAAAGGACAGTAAGGAAGAAGATGATCGAATAAAGAAACATCATTTAAGGTAAGTCCTTACACTAACATTGGGTGGTGGGAATAAAAAAACAGCCTTTAATGTCACTTTAACCCTTGCAGCAGGGCTACCCTAGCACGGCAAGGGTTAAGTACTTGTTTTTGCGAAGGTGCTAAAATGAAAGTGTTATACTCACCTGATCCTCAGGGCCAGCTTGCTCTTAGACCAGTCCTTCCAGCCTCTCTCCCTCTCCTCTGCAGAGGTTTAATGATCCTT